TGGCCGGGGCCTGCCCCGCCTGTGCGAGTGTAAACTGTAAAGCTCAGTGCGGAGGGCAGTGTCCAGCTGCAGACAGGCCACGGGAACCCCATGGGGAGCGGGAGAGGCAGTGGATGTGAACTGGGTGGAGGCCTGGCCAACGAGGGGTCACTAGGCTTTTACAGTACAAGGATTTCCATTCCTACGCTACACATGATGTGAGGACAGCTGTAACAACACAGTGCAACCAGCAGCCGGGAGGAACCTGGGAGGAGGCGGTCCTGGGGAGAGATGTGGTCCCAGAGGCGGGCATGGTCCAGATGTGGCTGCACCCCCTTCACACACACACACATGCCCCTGGCTTGGTGTCAGGGACAGTCAGGGGCCAATGCGGGGGGCAGGGGTAGAAACAGCTGAGTCAGAGGGCCAGAATTCCAAGATTGGGAGTAAAGAGGGGGTCTCCTAGCTGCCACCTAAACCAAGCTGGGTCTCATGCCAGGACAGGAGAGCTCTCTCCCATCTGGCTCTGGGTGCAGTTTTCATCCTGTTTCAGTTCCAGGAGCTCTGTCGGATGCAGGGGTCCTGGCCCCTCTGGCATCAGTGTTTCTTACAACCCGACGACAGGGAGGCTCTGACTTGGATCCCTGCATAAATCCAGATGTCTCCCAACCTTGTCTCCTGCTCTGCAGAGATCTAGTCCCACACTGAGGAGCTGGGACCATGGGGGAACTATGGAATTGGAGGGAAGTGATGAGAAGGTACAGAGGTTCAAGGCTGGGGTCCTCCAGTCTGGTGCCAAAGTTCTTCCGATAAGACTGCCATTGGGGTCTCAAGGTGGGGTGCAGGCATCTGGGGCCACCGCCCATAAGGCACTGCCCGAGCCCCACCCCAGCGTCCTTCCTGCTCACTGGATGGTGCATTTGTCCCGCTCCCGGGCCTGGCCCTCCCGAAGGACCTTGGCCTTGATGTACTTGAGGTCACTGTTGACGCTGGGGCGGCGGGCGAAGGGCGAGACCATGCCGTAGGCGTCCGTCTCCTTGACGCGACGCATGCAGAAGGGCCTGGGGTGGAAGGTGTCGCCGTACTGCACGGAGATCTTCCGGTGCAGGGCTGGGCTCATCTCGTGTGGCAGCTTGGCCATGCTGAAGAGCACATAGAACATCTCGTCCACGTTGGTGTTCTTCTTAGCCGACACCTCGAAGTAGGCGCAGTTCTCGTCGCCCGACACGAGCAGCTCGGCCTCGGTGGCAGGCACCTGGCGGCAGAGCTCGCCGTGGTCGTTCTTGTTGCCACAGATGACCATGGGCAGCTCTGCCGCCTCCTTGGTCTTGTTCTTCAGGCAGGACTTGACCTCCAGGATCTGCTTCTGCAGGCGCTTGACCTCATCGAAGGACTCCCGGCTGTCCAGGCTGAACACCAGGATGAACACGTCCCCTGCGGGGAGAGAAACCCAGGCGGTGAGCTCAAGGGGGCTCCTGAAGGCCCCGCCCCCGCAAGGCCCCGCAGCTCAGCCACGGCACAACCCGCTGGGACACAGTTCATTCACCCTACATTTCCCTGCAGGGCTGGAGACGGGCCAAGTGGCCTATGAGCTTGTGGAGATGGTGTCAGGATAATAATAAATACAATTTCCAGGGGAGCGGGGTCCTGCCTGTCCTGTTCAGTGCACATCCCTTGCCTGGAGGCATACCTCATGCACAGCAGGAACTCGGAGCGTGGCATCGGGTGGCCTGGGTGCATATCTCGCCTTCTCCACTTACCAGCCACGCAGCCTCCCCAAATCTCATTTCCCCATCTCCCCCATGTGGATGAAGCACTGCCTTGTGAGATGGCCTCGAGGGTCACAGGAGACAATGACTGCAGGGATGCTGGTCAGCAGTCTTCGGCATCAACAGTGACAATGAGAGCAAGCATGTTGGGGAGCCAGCATGGGCCACACAAGTCATGCCCACTGTTTCCCTGAGTCTTTACAAAACCTCTGTGAGATATGTCACCTTCACGGTACAGGTGAGCAAGCTGCAGCCCAGAAAGGGTGAGCAACGTGCCCAGATCACACAGCTCTGATGTGGCCAGGCCAAGATTGGGGCCCAAGTCTGTCCTCACCTAGCCAGTGCCCAGCACACAGTAGGTGCTCTCTGCTTCTTGAGTAAATCTTGAAAGAATAAGCGAATGCTGGCCTCCAAGGCCCACAGTATCCCTAGGTTAGCTCACTGCATCACTCGAGAACTTTGACTCTGAAACAGGGACCATGTGGAGACGGCAGGGGTGGCAGGGAGGGCTGGTGCCTTCGTCGCAGTTTCGAGATCTTCCTACCGTGATCACAATCTCACGCTCAAAGGACCTTCCTCACTTTGATAAGATGTCAAGATCCCTGTTTTACAGACGAGGAGATTGAGGCTCAGAGGCATCGGCAACTGGCCCAAGCTCTCGAGGGGACAATCAAGTGATTCCAGGCCTGGAGCTGCTGCCTGCTCCGCCGGACCCCAGAGCATGCCCATCTGTCCCCGTAACAGCACATGCCATGTTCAGAACTGTGTTCCAGCCAACGGTGTGCTCTGAACAGCGAGCTCTGGAGCGGAGGGGGACTTCACCTCCCGGTGCCCAGCACACAGTGGGTGTTCACAAAGCTGGCTGAACGGACGGGACAGGATGGGATGGAATGATTGGTGTGGGCTGTTTAGAAAAGCACGTGCCAGGCCGTACCAGCCTGGCAACCAATTCCACTTGGGGTGCCAAACCCAACCCATTAGGCTAACCCGGGGCCCCTGAGGATTCGGCAGCCTTGACACATTCAAATGCAAGACTGCGCCGATGCCAAGCTTCAGAGTCAGCCAGCCGGGCTGGCTGCTGGAAGGAGGGGTGGCGGCAGAATTAATGGTTTTCCTGCGTACCAGCACCAGGTTGGAAAATGAGGCACGGATTGCTGAGTGGAAAAGCAAGCAGCAGACAGATGTGCTCGGAATGGTATATGCACGTAAGAGACAGACAAGAATGCTCTCTGCTGCGGGGATGCAACTATGAATGTTAACGTGTTTGTGGGGGAGGGCCAGAAGACTCCACTCCGGATTGATGGGGTGGCCACCTCCGGGAGGGGGCTGGAACCTGGGGGGTGGGGACATGAGTCAAGGGGGATTTTTAGGCTTGTCTATATGTTTAAAGAAGGGCGTCTGTATATTATTTGTGTAATTAAAAATTAATTTTGAAAACATGCACATGGTCCCTCTCTGCATCTCCTCCCCTCTCCCTCCCTGTGACGTTAGCTTATTTACATGGGTGGGCACCCAGGCTCCTCCCCAAGAGCTGACATTCCTGCGATATTCATCGTATGCTGGAAGTGCCCCCCTACGCGCTTTCCTCCACTCGGCAATACCTGAAGGAAGCAAGGTCATGTCCAGCTGGCAAGACTGAGATTCAGACCTCTGGTCACCTGTCTAAGGCACCCCAATGATGGAGCCAGGACTCGAACCCAGGTCAACCCAGGGCTCCTCCTATCCATACACTGCCTCTCTGAAATATTGGGGGAGGGAGAGATCTGAGTGTGATCTGTGTCGGGTCGTCAGCAAGGACAGTCTGGAAGAGAAAGCTGTTTGCCCAGGGGACCCCAAGATGGGGCTTCACCAGGTGTGGGGGGAGGGGTGCCATGGCCTGGGTTTCTTGTGCAGAAGTATCTGGTTTGGGGGTTACTTCAGCGGTGCCTGGAGGGTGGGTGACTTGCTCATTCCTTCCCCTCTTCACTGCCCAGCAATGGGAGAGGCATGGCTTAGGACATGACTCTGCAGGGTCACTATAAATGCTGTTTTAATTTAAGACCAATATTTATTGAGCACTTGCAATCTGCTTACCTAGCACTTTTCATACATTAACTCATTTAATTCTCACAATGACCTTTGGGATGGGTGCTAATGTGACGCCAACACACAGATGAGAAAACTGAGACGCGATCAAGTCTGTGCCCAGCACAAAACCAGGAAGCAGGGGAACCAGGATTTGGGTCCAGGCAGACTGGTTTTTAGGCCTTTCCTCTTAGTTTCCACACGAAACTGCTGGAGTCACATGAATGATGGCCCAGCCCCACACTGCCACCTCCCCCTTAATCCCCAACAATCTCCCTCCCTCCCACCACTCTCACAGGGCTGAGCGGCTACAGGATACCACAGTGGCAAAGCATGAGACAGACTTCCATTTATCAGCTGTGTTACCACTTGGATTAACTTAACCTCTCCGGGCCTCAGTTTCCCCACCTGTAAAATGGAGGCAAATATCCATCTCCTAGGTTAGTTGTGAGGATTAAATAAATGCCAAGCTCTAAGACTGGACCCAGGCACACAGCTCTTGATAAGTGTTAGCTATCGCCATTACCATTACTGTAATTACTGCCGAGCTCCCGGCATGGGCAGAGCCCCTGCCTGCCCTCTGGCTGGCCCCTACCTGGGTCCTGTTGTTACTGCTCTGAGAGGTGGCAAAGGACATGGGGTGTCAAGAGACCTGAGCCTAGCAGCCTGACCAGGGGCGCTGGAGCTCTGCTGAGTCGCCTCCCTCAGGAGGAAGGCAGCAGCCCCACATTCCCTGGAGAGGAACATCCCCAGGGCCCGTCTCTATCAGCTCCTGATCGAGAAGGCAGCACCAGGCGTCGTGAGTAACTGACCCAGAGTTGGACAGAATGGAATTTGGGCCCCGGCTCCAGCATTTGCTCGGGCCAGCAGCAACGCCTCTCTGACCCGCACAGCACACGGAGGCCTGCTGTGACCTTCATTTCAGATGATAGCTAGGCAAGTGCTTTGCAAACTGTAAAGTGCCAAGAACACACGCCCACATACGCGGCGCCCATGCCCGCCCCAGGCACCCACCTGTGAGGATGGAGAGCCTGCGCATGGCAGGGAAGGGGTGGTTGCCGGATGTGTCCAGGATGTCCAGCTGGTACATGTCACCTCGGATGTTGTAGACCTTCCGGTGGAAGTCCTCGATGGTCGGTGTGTACTGGTCCTCGAAGCGGCCGTTGAGGAAGCGAGAGACAATGGAGCTCTTGCCCACCCGAGAGGCGCCCAGCACCACCATGCGGTACGAGTTCTTGGCGGGCACGCTGAACGTGCAGTTCCCGCTGGACAAGGTCTTCATCATGGCTCGGGGCTGCAACAGAGAGAGGGGAGCAGGTGTCAGGAGGCCCCGGATGCAGCCCCGCAGCCCCCTGCTGAAGGCCTTGGCCTCCTCTGTGTGGCTCCTGACTAGGGCTCAGTTTTCTGTCTGTAAAATGGGAAATGCGGACTAGGGCCTCTCTAAGGGGCTTTGGAGTTCTGCCTGTTCATTCACTCACGCCCTCGTGTCTTTCCTCCTTCGTTCATCCGCTCACTCATATTCATCCCCTTATTTATTCTAGCACCAGACTGCTAGGGCTTGAATCCTCACTTTATCACTAACTCACTATTGTTCCTGGGCAAGCAGCCTACCTTCCCTGGGAGTCACTTTTCTCATCTATACAATGGACTCAACTCATAGGGCTGTCGTGAAGGGCTCAGCACACAGTGAGACCTCAGAGATGTTAACTCTTATTAAAATCCGTTCGCTCTCTGATCCATCTGTCCTTTCTGTCTCTGGCAGCCTAGAAGCCCATGATTCTGGGACAGGACATGGGGAAGGCACTGGAGAGCATTTGAGAGCACACAGTGCTGTGGCCTTTCAGCTCTCCCAGTGGAGGGGAAAAGCCATATCCAGACCACATCCTTCATGCCAGAGCATGGGGCTGCCAGGCAACTTTTGCCCCCCAAGCCCTGGGAGTTTGTCCACCTTAGGAGACCCAGAGACCTGGACTAGGTGATGTGGGTCGGAGAAATGACCCATGAACAACTTAAGTCCCTTATAACTCCGGGGGCTTATGGTTCTGGATATACCCAGAACTTTCTATGGGAGCCTCCTGGCCTTGTGGAAGAGGCTGCAATGAACCCAAGCTCTAGACCCCAAGTGGTCCGGGACATAAGTAAACCTCCAGGGGCTCCATCAGGCCCACCCCAAAGGCCAGTCACAGCCCAGCCACCCTCCTTTCCTATCTCAACGTCCATCAGAATTCCCCCAGGACCCCTGAGCCCCTGTCACTCTAGTTAGTTTGAGCTCTGCTGAGCTCTGCTTCCACTCCTTAGCTCAGGCTAGTCCCTCCCCTGAAACAGCTCCTCCCCTTTATGTTTCAGGGTCTGGCTCAAATGCCACCTCCTGTCTGAAGGTTTCTCTGACCCCTACCCTCTCCAGCAGGAATCCCTCCCCTCTCTGGAGAACAGGAACCACAAATGGATACAGGCCTGCTGAAATATCAACACCCCCCCAGGCTGCCACACTGGAGGTACAGGCTGGGTGGGGAAATGGGGGCTCAGAGGAGTCTCAAAGAGCTGTATATGCCAGCTCCGACTGGCCCCCACCCTTGGATGTCCCAGGTCAGTAGCCTGCAATGCTCTCTCTCCAGCATCATACTGTTCTATCTGCCATGATACCAAGAGACCCGAGGTAGAGATAGCTCCTGTGTGCGAGTCTGCCGGCACACATTCTGTCCAGGGCATTCAGGCATCCAAATCTGCCCACCCACTCGACTGAGAGTTGCTGCGCAGTAAACCAGCTCTCAAAAATACCTTTTTAAAAAGCTCTTATTGGTAGCGTTTGTCAATTTCCATGGCGCACATCCTGCCACTGTGGCTGATTGCAAGCTACCAAGATGATGTCAATAAACGAATTGCAAAGAGACCCACACAATAAGCCTGCTCAGCACACCGCTGACCCCGTGCCTGGAGCCAGGGTAACACTCACCATTAACCAAGCCCCTGCCGCGTGCCGAGCACTGTGCTAAGTATAGAATAATAATAGCTGACATTTATTTTGCAGTTAATGTATGCCAGAATGTTCTAAGGGGTGAGAACATGTAATAACCTGCTCTATCCCTCAGTAATCCCAGAAGGCAGGTGGAGTTACCCCAATTTACAGATGAAGACACTGAAGCACAGAGAAATCTAGTAACTTGCTCATGGTTACTAGGCCTGTAACCAGCAGAGGAGGGACTGGGCCGCAGGCAGTCTGCCCTGGGCTATGGAGTCTCCTCACCACCAACCTTTGAGGTTCATATTACCTTCCCCATTTCCCTAGTAAGGACCCTGGTGCTTTAAAGCTATGGGACTGGCCCATGAGTTACTAAAGGAGTCAGGACAGTGACTCCAAGCCTAAAATCCCCACATTACCCACACAATTCATGTCCGAAGCCATCTTTCAATTTATCCCACAGGATTTCAGTGTTGTGTACACAGCAGATGCTCAATAAGTGATCCATGAATGAATGGAGCAAATGGCTCTACCTCTGGAGCTCACTTAAAGCCTCCTCTGGGGCCTTCTCCCTCCACCCCACCCTGCCTGGCTGGCCCAGGAGCTGTGATGAGGAGGGTCGCAGTGCCTTGGGCACACTCATAGGTGGACAGTGGGGAGCAGGGCATACAAAATCAACAGCAGTGAGTCCTTCTCAGTCTCCTTTGCGGCTGGGTGAGCTAGTCTGGGCCTTCAACAGAGATGGGGGGAAAGAGGCCCCACACCAGGACATCCCCTCCCCAAGTCCCTCTGCAGGGAAATTGACTCTGCTGGTGGTCACCTCTGTCTAGATGGAGAGGGAAGGAGGCCAGCAGCCCTCAGGAACAGTGTTTGTCTCTGTCACTGTGTGCCCCAGCCTCTACCCTTAGGGCTGTTAGTATAGACATACTAGTATCAGTGACCAAATGGGCTAAGGCACAGAAAGAGGAAGCAGAGAGTCAGAGAGAGGAGACAGGGAGTTAGAGAGAGCAGACAGGGAGTCAGAGAGAGGAGGCAGGGAGTCAGAGAGAGGAGGCAGGGAGTCAGAGAGAGGAGGCAGGGAGTCAGAGAGAGAGGCAGGGAGTCAGAGAGAGAGGAAGGGAGTCAGAGAGAGGAGACAGGGAGTCAGAGAGAGAGGCAGGGAGTCAGAGAGAGAGGCAGGGAGTCAGGGAGAGGAGACGGAGTCAGGGAGAGAGGCAGGGAGTCAGAGAGAGAGGCAGGGAGTCAGGGAGAGAAGGCAGGGAGTCAGGGAGAGAGGCAGGGAGTCAGAGAGAGAGGAGACAGGGAGTCAGGGAGAGAAGGCAGGGAGTCAGGGAGAGAAGGCAGGGAGTCAGGGAGAGAGGCAGGGAGTCAGAGAGAGAGGAGACAGGGAGTCAGGGAGAGAAGGCAGGGAGTCAGGGAGAGAAGGCAGGGAGTCAAAGAGAGGCAAACAAGGGAGAGGGGAATCTGCGACTTTCTTCTTTGAGAGAGGACTGTGAATCTTCACATGGCCTCAACCACATGGGGCTATGTGAGGCACCCAGACACCTGGATGCCAGGTGACACACCTTTGTGGGCTCTGCCTTCCACCCCCACATCTCTCTTCCCTTCTCCTCCCCCAGGGGAGCTGCTGTGGGCAGTGCTGTGGGCACAGCTTCTCTCCTCTGCTGCCTGCTCCTCTCTATCATCAGCCAGGCTGACAGGAGGGGTCAGGGGTCAGAGTTCAAATGGCCCTTTTAGAATTTAGAGTCCCACCCTGTTGGTTAATGGGGACCAATAGCAGCATAAGTACCTGAATGCAGGTTCTGTGACTAGGCAGGCCCCACCCCAGGACCATTCTAAGGGAGGCAGAAAGGCCCGAAGCAGAGATGGGTGGGGCCATCCTGGGAGAACAGTCACCACTGCCTGGCAGGCTCCATGCTGTACCTTATTCCAATGACTTCACAGCAGCCCCATGAAGAGGGGACCATCATCTGCCCATTGGACTGATAGGGACACTGGAGTCACTTGCCCTGGTTCACACAGACGATTGGCTGGGCCAGGATTAAAACCAGGCAGTTGGCTCCAAAGCCTGGGCTCTGACCCCTGTGAAGACCCACCCCCAGACCAAAACCAGAGCCTTTCAAAACAGTGTCTGACTCAGTGAAGCCTCAGCTAGAGTCAGGCAAGGGAAATGACCCCCGAGGCCTATTACATTCTCACTCCCCTTCTCTCCCTACAGGCAGCCGGGTACTGGTCCCCTGCCCAGGACTCTCCTCCAAACCCTGCTCAGCAGCTCCCAGCGAATGCCTCTGTGGACTCACCCCTTCTTCTTTGAGCCCCTCCCCCAGGGCCTATCTGGAAAATGAAGGGGTCAGGTGAGCAAAGACAGCAGGATGAGAGTGGGGACGTGTGCTCCTCCCTGTGAGTACCCCAGAGCGCCTGTCACTGCACTGTCCTCCCCCCCTCCCACACACGCCAAGTCTGCTCGGTTAGGGCACATCCCAGCCTCTCTGGACACACGGATTCACTCGCATGCTGAGATGAGTCCTGGGGGCTCTGCAACACCAGCCTCACCACCCTTGGCGGCTCAGGATGGGAGAAAGCAGGCAGGCATCAACTGTCGGCAGACCAGCTCTGCCTTTCACCAGCTCAGCAACCTTGGGAAAACGGCCTGGCCTGCTGGGGTTGGTCATCTCTCAAAGGGACATGGTAGAAGCAAACCCAGAGCGTGGCCCTGGGAGTCCACTGAGAAGCCAAGAGGCTGACACAGCTCCTGGCACACAGCAAGCGGGTTCCTTGCTTTGTGGAGCTTCTAGGCAGTCAAGGGGCTTCTTGGAGCAGCTAGGTGGGGTGGCACTGGAGTGCAGGCAGAGGTCTTGGGGGACCCCATCTTGTCTCTCTGATGCCAGGGAAGCCTGAATCTCAGGCTCCTGAGCTGGCTGCCCTTCCCAGCCTGGCCTCCTACCTCCCATAAGGTCCTGGACAACATCCTTCATCATCCTCCCAGGGCTGGGGGCAAAGGGAAGAGAGGTCAGAGGGAGCCCCTCAGAGGTGTTTGGGGACCCTCTGGTCAGCTGAGTACAGGACACCCATCCTGGGAAGAGAATCACTCAGGAAACTCATTCCTTGCACCAAAATCCTTCCTCCTCAGAGGAGGTCCTGTCAGGGCTGGATTGGGGGAGCGGGGACACCAACTGGTGGCACCCCAGCCCCACCCTGCTTCCAGGTATGCAGGCAGCAGCTGGCTCAGGAAGAAGGGGCGGGAGTGTTTGGGGAAGATAAGCACCTCTTCCTCCCTGAGAATCAGTTTCCTCATACCAGAATGGGCTCTTAAATGGAAGCTCCTAGCTCCAATCAATAGGAGTAGAAGTTCAATAAGTAAGTTTTCCTTAGCAGGCGTAAGTAAAGGGCCTAGCACCCAGCCTGGCACACAGTAGGTGCTCCGCTAATTTCATTTTCTGTAGATCTGTAAGGTTGCCGTGTGGACCTGACACACTGTAGAGGCTCCATCCGTTTTACTGTGCTAGTCCTGTAAAGCTTCACCTAGCCTTCCGACCACCCCCCAACCTTCTTTCCCTGGCTTCCACACTTCACCCCGCGCCCCAGTTCTGTCGGTGCCCCTCTCCTACCTGGGGATGGCGGGCCAGGCCTCTGGGTCGGCTCGGAGGGCTGCCTGGAAGCGTCTGGAGATGCGGGGAAGAGCCTGTCTCTCCCCCCGCCGCCGCGTCTTCCAGGGTCTGCGGCTCCTGGGTCACTGCGCCGGGCTCCTCCTCTGCGCCGCTCGGGGAGCCGGTCTGGGCGCAGCCGGGCAAGGGGACGCGGGGAGCTGGTGCCCCATGGGTGGGTTCCGAGGGCTCGGCGGGGCCCGGGCGCTGGGCG